CCACCAGCTCTCTGTACTCAGCTTCCTGTCCATCTCTGATACACCCAACAACTGCAGAGTCATCTGAGTATTTCTGTAGATGACACAAGTCTGACTTGTGCTGGAAGTCTGAAGTGTACAGTGTGAACAGGAATGGTGAGAGTACAGTTCCCTGTGGTGCTCCTGTGGTGCTGACCACCTGGTTAGACACACAGTCCTTCAGTCTCACAAACTGTGGTCTGTTTGTCAGGTAGTCTTTGATCCAGGCGATTGTTGAGGCCTCCACCGGCTTCTTCTGGAGTTTCAGACAAAGCAACTCAGGCTGAATTGTGTTAAAAGCACTGGAGAAATCATATATAAATAAATAAAGTGGAAATAAGTTAAAGGCAAACTAAAAGCTAAAAAAGCAAAGGGGCAGGTAAAAGTATCAAAAGGCTAGGTAAAGGATAAATAAGACAAAGGCTAACAAAAAGTTAAGATTAAAAAAAGGACATTCAAATGCCAGAATTTGCAGAAGGCTATCTAAAAGTAGCAAAAATCTAACTAAAAGCTAAAATTAGCAATAGGCCTGTAAAAAATAGCAAAGACTAGCTAAAAGCTAAATAAGCAAAAACTTAATAAATATCTATAAGTTGCAAAAGTCTAACTAAAAGATAAAATAAGCAAAAAAAAAAAAAAACCAGCTAAAAGCAGCAAGAGAGATACTAAAAGCTAAATGTAGCAAAAAATAATTAAAACTGTAGGCCAAGAAATAGCAGTAAAATACTAGCTAAAGCTAAATAGGGAAAAGGCTACTAAAATCTAAAAGTAGCAAAAGGCCAACTAAAACCTGCAAGAGGCTGACTAAAAACTTAAATCAACAAAACAAGAAGAAAAAAAGAGTAAACATGCTGAAGCAGATTTTTAAAAGAAGAATGTTGTTGTTAATCCCAATTTATTTCTCTGGTGAAAATATTGGCAAATAAAATTACATTTTTAATTGCATAATTACAAAAAAAAGTCATAGCTCCCATCCTGAATAAGCTAAATGTTTTTTATACAGAATTTTAAAAACTAATATAGCACAAAATATGCTGAAGTAGTTAAATTGTAAAAAGTATATGAAAATATTCAAATCAGGAAATAGTGTGAAAGTAGTGTGATTTCTGACTCAGCATTCACATCTATAAAAATGTTACTAACATGGATTTTGCAGCGAAGAATTGTTTTTAGGATTAATGAATAAAAGAGGATTTAGGGCTCAGCTCTGATGAATTTTCTCCTGAACATCAGGAAAATGAAAAGCTCAAATAACAAACAAGGAACTTCTTTTAATACATGACTGTGTTAACGTATGAATGGCAGTAAAGTGGGTGATAAATTGGTGGCATTACAGCAACAAAATGAGCAGAAGTGAAGGCTGACTCAACCTTTCCTCCTTATTCAATTATAGGTTCAGAAAAACAGGCAGAACTCTGTGCAGGCTTGTAGCCCTGATCCAAGTTTGTTTAGGCTCAAACTGCAGCTTGGCCAAGCGGTGCTGATCATTAAATGATCTGTGGCAGAGAGGGTGAAAATGCCCCACAACTTATAGGCTTAGATCAAATTAAACTGTCAAAGTGTGGAAACATTCAGAGAAGACAGGCAGTGTGGAGAGAAGGACAGTTTCAAACTGGAAAAGGAGGAGCAGAGTTTGCACATACAGTAATGTAAACACATTTAATGAATTTTACATGGTCATTTCTAGATTGTGAATACAGCATACTTCCAAATAAAGTTTAATGTTATGAGATAGTTATTGCATGAACAATTTTATCTTGTTTTACAATTTCGTGCGCACATTAGATAATGAAAGTTAAACATGTATCAGGTACAAAGCAGAAGCTTTTCTGACCGTGTCCAGGTGAGTGCGCTGATGTTTGGCTCGGTCGCTGGAGTTGCTGAATGCTTTCTGGCAGCCCGGGTGCTGGCACAGGTACGGCTTCTCTCCCGTGTGGCTCCTTAGATGGATCTTAAGGTTCTCCAGGCGAGAAAATGCTTTGTTGCAGCCCTCAAACTGCAGAGAGGAGGAAAAATTGCTTAGATAAATGACAGGAAAAAAAGACAATGACGGGTATGCACAAAAAAAAAAGTGGGTGAAAAAAAGGACCTAACACATGTCCAGAGAATAAAAGACATTGGGTCAAATATGATAAATGTTAGTTAGTTTTTGTTTGTCTCGTTTGTCTCTATGTGTCCCTGTGATGGACTTGTCCAAGGTGTCCCCCACCCCCACACAGTGACTGCTGGAGATGGGCACCAATAACCCCGTGACCCTGAAAAGAAGAAGTGGGTGAAGATTGATGGATGGAATTAGGTAATAAAGTACATGCTGAYGTAAAGKGTTTTGTTCACATTTTTAAGGCACATGTGTCAAACTCAAGACCGCAGGCCACAAGTGGCATGACACAGTGTTTTATGTGGTCCACAATAGCTTTGATGATGTATAAGATGTACTGGGAAGTGGAGATTTTCCACTTACAAGTTGTAAATTTAAACTGGAATGTCCCTTTAGTAGGAATTCCCTGTCTGAAAGTGAGAGAGTTCAAAATTAAAGACAGTTGCTTCTTATCACARCTCACTTTTACTTTTAACTGTATTTCTGTATTATTTATTTCACATTTACTCAGTTGTACACGTAGTACTTTTCAGTGTTTATAAGAGGATGCGTTAAAACACTGTTTCTATACACAATATACCATGTAGAGCTCATTTATTGTTTGTTAGCGCTGCTCAGCTGTAGCAACGAAATGAGAAAAGTGATGTTTTAGTGTTCAAGTTAAGCATGAAACAAAGTTAAAAACAGTACAACGGGCCCTTTGAAGGTCACTATGCCCATGTGTTCCTTGGTGAAAATGAGTTTGACTTAGCGTGTTAGCCTTAATGAATTTGCAGAATTTTAAGTTTTAAGTTATAAAACAACAGTAAGAGTGTCCAGCTACCAATTATTCTCAAACCCAGTACGAGTGATTCAGTTTGGGTACTTGCCGACACCAAGTACTTAGAGTTAGAACCTAAACATTACACAATGATCTTAAAATCACATTAATTTTCTTTATAACAAGGTGGTTCTCCTTCCTCTACAGTCCCACTAACTGTTTCATGGAGTAWACAGCTCAATGTAAAAAACTTAAGAAAGATGTTATTTCAATTTGTATAAATTCCTTAAACATGGAACTGAACTTTTTACTGGAAATGTAAACTGGAATGTATTCAATGGAGCATCGATACCGGTATTGATATTGGCCAGAGTGTTGGRCACAAGTACTTGTAAACATATTGGTAGTGAGGGACACCACTAAACAGCAGGAATCTTTGGTTTTCGCCTTAATCAGATAAGCCATCGGCTCATCAGTCCAGCCATATCTGTCTCAAAGAACTTCCCTCCAAACGATCCAAAGTATCAACTTAAAGGAACATTCTGGCCTTTTTTGGAAACGATGTTCTGTCAATCAACTGAATAGTATAGTTACCATACTGGACTGTACACCTGTGCTTGAAGGCTCTCATCTTAATTGCAGGGGAAACTAGAGTGTGCCGTACAGTGCATTGTCGATTATAATGCACAGCATGAGATAAGTGTTTATCTGTGTACAGTTAGGACTGACAAGTGACAGTGACTGTAAACAAGCTCATATCTGACCCGGCTTGGCTCATTTGATCCCAAGCACTCAGCCAATGAACACCACAGATTTGTTAACAAGTGAATCTTTCATGAGGCTTCTCAAGTGTCGGTTTCTGCTCTTACAGGTGAAAAGGAAACAAAACAAACAAAGAGGGGGGAAAACTGCTGATTGGTGGAAAAGTCAGCTCCTCTCAGTACTAAGGGAAAAATAGATTACTGTTACTTATTTCTGCTCAGTCATCCGGGGATTCAGTGTCACTGTAACTTACAAACTTCAGTTTGCTTTATCAACCTTCAGAGTCTGTGCAAAATGCTGACACTCCATTACAGATATCAGTGTTCAAAAATAAGTTTTTATACTCATAAGCGCTATCCGTTCAGAATACAATGACAGTACAAGTATAACTTCTCCCATTCTCTACTGTTCATTGTACCCTGACCTTTAGTGAGGCCTACCAACAGGTCAGGTTACTGCTAAGAAGAGACGAACGCCATTCTTCTAATGGGCCTTCAACTCCATCTGGGCTCAGTGCTCATCCCTGGTCTCCTTCATTCACTCAGCCAGCACAGACAGAGTCTTTTATTCACCCGGGCTCCATTTAATATAGGCGAAACCTTAGACTGTCATGGTGGAGACGTTTTGGGTGACCATGCAGATCTGTGGGTTTGTGCGTGCGTTGCTGTGCCTCAGTGAGCAAGTCTTAATCTGCTCAGTTATGGCAACAAGAACACATCTCATAAAGCTTGTAAGATGTCTAAAAGAACTTCTTCTGTTGCATAAAAAACTTCATTACACAAACAATATGCCAAAACATGATTTGATTTAGTGTCTAAAATGATCCAAGCTCTGTGAGTTAATGTTGTCAGTCTTCAGCTATTGATGACAAGAACATAATTTGATGTTCTTCTTCAAAAGTCTATGCTTTTCTAAAAGCTGCTTGTTTGGTTTCTTGACAAGTTAAAGCATCTTTGTGTATGAATGCATCAACACAAAGTAGTCACTTAAAAAAACTTACAGCGCTATTTCAGATATATTAACATGGGATTCTGTGAAACGTTATGAACTATTAATATCTTACCTGATGTAGATGGCCTCAACAGTCTCAATCTGGGGAAAAGACGTCATTTCTGACAGGACTGTATCCCTCAGTGGTGGGCACAAGCCCGCTAAAGCGCAAATTCGCTAATTGCGGACCTAAATATATTGTTTGTGCTTTAGCGGTCTTACTAATTTTTATAATTCATAAGCAGATTTGCACTTTCTAAAATTAAAATGCAGTACTGCTAATAATTAATTATCTACCAGTCATCATTATCTTGAACTGTGGAAGGTATGGCTGTCAATGAATCACAACACATATGATCTATCCACCAGCACCCCTCCCAGATAAACACACTTATTGAGAAGGTTTTCATCCTTGCTGACTGTTGCTTTGGGTCACGGTTCTCATTTCCCACAACGCTTTGTGTCTGCTTACGTAGCAGGAAGGCAATAGCAAAAACAGTTAACGTTTGTAATCCATACTAAAATTTTGTATGTACTTATTTATTTTACTTTATGATCGGAGCTCCTTTTTAAAAAATAATAATAATAAAGTTTAAACGCTGGCGCTCAATACTTGATGTAATTGGTTGAAGCAACGGTGTTAGAGACGCAGAAATGATTTAAAGATGTTATGCTGATGAAGACAGACATCTAGTGGTCAACTGGAGCAACTACATGGAAAACTTTAAACTCTAAGCTCTTATTTTGAAGGGAAGATAGTTTCCGGTACTCTGTGCTTTCGTTTCCCGTCACAAATCAAATCCATCATGTACCCTGAATGCATCGCTTCAGTTTTCCAATAAACGGTTTTAAAATTACTTTATTGATGCTTCTTTAATGAAAAATCTACAACAAACAAAAGAAAAAGACAAAGAAGCAGCCGAACTAGCAATCCTCAACAACGTTTTAATTTTTACACCGGGAGCTAAAGGTCTGCTTCAGGAAATCACATCCCCAGCAATAAGCGGTTGTTGGTTTAAGCTGTAAAAGAGTTCATACACCGCTAGTTGGCAGTGTTGTACATATATTGTACATGAATTGTTGCCAGCTAGTGAGTGTCAAATTGAACTTGTGCTTTAAAATTAGCTTCTGCTAAGTTTTTCTATGGCATGAGTGATTTTGAAGTTGCAGACCTAAATATTTTCATAAGCACTTTAGAAATTGTGAAGCTAAATTTTGGATTAGCGCTGCCCACCACTGGTATCCCTAAAAGTTGGGGTGAATCACTTGCAGTTTTCTGGCTGATCACGATCTTTAAAAAGTCTGACATGCCGATTCAAATTTTGGCCGATACCAATTTTTTAAATAACTGACACTGTCAGGTGTTTTAAGGTTATAATCTACCTTCAATGTTCCAATCTTATTTCATTGAAAAACATTGAACAATACTCTGGAAACAATACAAACTTATTTTAACTGGACATTAGTGCTCAGAGCAAAAGGGGAAAGTGGCTGATTTTCAGAGCTGGGGGTAAATAAGAAGTCCATCTCTTTCAGTCTTATCTATCAGTCGATTGCCGATCTCCCAAAAATATGGAAATCTGTGCCAGTAAATTGGCCTGCTGATTTACTGAAGCACCCCTACCTAACAGATATCTCTACCTGATGTCTATTGGATTTTAAGTTTTGGAAAACAAACAAGGCTGTTAATGAAGAGCCAAAAGTAGTAATTTATCCTCTTTATAAATGTGTGAATAAATTACCTTTTGATGTTCTCAGAAGGAATGACGTTAATCACGACGAGCATTTAAATACTCAGAGAGCTAGATGTGCACAGAGAGATGGCCTGAGCAGGAGGATTTATTCACTGCTGGGAAACTAAAAAGGCTATGSTATGTCCAGGAAAGAACATTATACAGAAACCCCATACAAGAAAAAAAAAGATAAATTAGGAAAGTGGGTCCARTCTGACTCTTTGAATGACTTCTTCAGAAATTTCACAGACTGTCAATAAACTRTAATGGTGAAAAAAGCCTCTGAAATATATATACATTAAGAAGTATGTACTGTAAAGTGGTGTCATTTAGAGCGAGTTGAYTGAAACCTACAGTAGACGCATTAAAAACAGGCCCCACTGACATTATCTATAAAAACACGGTGCTAATTGCATTAATTGCTTTAAACGTGTTTCGTTCTCTTTCTAAATAAAAGAAGACTGTCCAGGTCAAGACTGCCATATGAGGGGGAGCAGCACTGGAGTTCTGGAGGGGTTTCAGCTCCACTTGACACCCCCTGACTTCTGAATGGTAGCTTGGTAAACATTGGGGATGACAGGAGGGTTCAAACATGGCTGAAGGGAGCGAAACAAGCTTGAAAAGGTRGACAGACAACTGATCACAACAAACAG